CGCTGGTTACAGCCGGCCATCACAATGATCCAGAACAACCTCCAGGTCAACAACAATACCATGAATATCCAAAACAGCCATGGAACCAACACAATCACTCACACTGGAGTCTACAACCCAGTCATCATCAAGCCAAATGGTGACAGATAGACCCAACATCATGCGCAACATCAAGAACTTCTTTGGTTTGTAATAAACAACAACAATTATTACCCGTTTATGTCTATCTATCAGTCATTGTCCTATGAATTTGACCCATAAAGAAATTACCCCCCGAAATTCTTGTTACCTCAGGTGGGTGTTAGTTGGAATGACGCACCAAAGTCCAAAGGTGGTGCAACAATGTCGTGTCCACCTTCTTCACCAAATCAGTAGTGAACAATGGAAGTCACACATCATACGATGACAGAGTCTTGTAGGAATGTCAGTGATCAAATCAAACAACCTCATGACATGGAGCTCGTCGGTAGCTTCATTAGTAACACCAAGGTTGACATGCGTTGGTGGAGTAGAGATAAAAGATGTGGAGCAAGACGATGCAGAAGATGGAAGTTGTCATGTATGGTATTAACTGTGTCTATCTTTTTAAGGTGAAGGGAATTGCAGAGATCAGTCTCGCGATCAACGCCTGATTCTCCAGTAGCATGGAATTGTGGACAAAGCCGCCGTGCATGCCAGAGACAAGAACAAGGCTGTGTTGGGGCGACAGTGGCCTGATATGGATGTCCAGGTCGTAGAAGACAATGACAAACTTAACCAGCTTGATGAGGCCGAGCACCAAGTGAAAGAGTCGCTGGAACATGCCGATCCTGAGGCCAAATTCGCAAGAACAGTTGTCGGACTTGATCTTGAACCCGCTGAACTCAAGTGCAGTTATCGATGATGGCAGAGAGTCACGAGCCAGGATTGTAACTTGGTTCGACCCAAGCCGCAGCTGCTTAATGGATGGGGGCAGCGTGTCCCGCTCGATGATCCTTTCTAGATTGCTCCCCAGATCCAAGTAGACGACCGAGGCGGGTATCCTGTCCGCTGGGATGTTTGGGAAGCCGACCAGAACCAGCGACGTCACAGTAGACGGGATTGTGTATTCTGGAATGAGCCGGTCCACTGGTCCAGCGTTGGGGCTTAATTCCATCTTGAGATGAGTGGTGCCGACTGGAATCGATCCATTGCAGAGCGATTGTTTCAGAATGACTTTGAAGCAGAAAGTGACTACAGAAGCTGGAATCCGAATACTGTTGTGCGCTCCATATTGATATCTACAACTTAGCTCTAGATGTTGGAGAGAGTTTGGCAAGGCGAGAGTATGTTCATATGAGTCACGCACAGGCAGACCAAGAGTTCAGCGTCGCACCGATCCAGGAATCAAGCCGGCAGGCAGGGGTGTGGGAAGTTGTCTCCAAGCTCTAAATGGGTGACAGATGGCGGAATGGAGCCTGGAACAAGTGGTCGGTTGAAGTTCATACCAAAATCCAGGTTGAGCACATACGATGGGATGACGCCTGGTGGAAGACAATCCATTGAACGCGAGTTCGACTTCTCTCCATTGTTATAGGCCTCTCCAAACTTCAGCCTGGTGACAGAGTCAGGGAGCGAGCCATGTCGGAGCGCCTTGTTAAAGGACATGCCAAAGACCAAGGTTTTGATCGATGGGAGCAAGCCTGGCGTCAGCTCACAGTTGAAGTCGCGTCCAAAGGTCAGCGATGTGAGCCCTTGCGGAAGACGTGGTACTGGCTGATTGAAGTACTTTCCAAATGTCAGGACACAAACACTGCTTGGGATTAATCGATCGGCAAGAGGATGATTGAAGCTTTTTGCAAAGCGCAAGTGAGTGATTGGTACCTGCTTGAAGTACCGTGATGGTCTGATCCGCATTCCCGCCTTGCATCGATAGACTACCCAGAGTAGTCTGCTGTTGGGAGTGCTTGGGCAGTCGTCGGTGTCAGAGTCGACCAAATGTCTATGCTCAAGAAACCTTGAGTGCGCCGCCACCGCAAGCCGCTGGTACCTGCTCATGTTCAGTGAGGTTTTGCCGAGGTAGGCATGGAGGTAGTGATTGGTTTGGTCTCCAGTGTTGGCATAGATAAACAGTCTATCGTTGAGCATGTGCAGTCTGATGTATTGTTCGCGAGTTTCAAACATTTGTTTAGATACCAACGACAAGCATATCTGGTCAATGTTGTCCAAACGAGATATAATCAATCGCAGAATAAATATCGGTATCATAATAAGTGTATCTAACTAAATAAATAACTAAATAAGTTAGTTGCTTCAGAGTAATCTGCTTTTGTCCGTCTCCTCATCATTATCTCATTTCTCCTTAAAAACACAAGACAACTCATAGTCATCTGACACAAGTTCATGTTCACCAAAGCTGTTGCGCAACAAGGAACAACAAAATATATATAAATTTATAACAATGTATTATTAGATGAAGTACTGCCAAAGTAAAATGATTCCAAATCCGGGTTCACTTCAGAGTCATTCTCAGAGATTAATGGAGGGCCACAGTCCTGATCATTGTGGTTAATTCTCAACCTTGTTCACTTTGGTCTCGGACTCATTGCCATCCTCATTGGTGTCTCTTCCACGTTTCTTGAGAGATGCTTGTCTATCCTTGTATTGTGTGAATATTGATTGAATAGATGCGTTGGACTTGTATGCTGCCATTGTAGCCACGCCCTTTAGTTGGAATGACGCACCAATGTCCAAAAGGTGTTGTAACAATGTCGTATCTACCTTCTTCACCAAATCAGTTGTGAACAATGGAAGCACTGTTGATTTGATTCGTGTCCTATCTCCAACACTGGCATGTTTGAGGAAGCAGTCCAACATTGAAATGTTGTCTGGATGGCGAGCCACCAAGATTGTCTCAATCAACTCACACAACAAATTAATCGTGGAGGTGTCCACGCATACAACTCCTGCGTGAGATTCATCGACTTAGAGTCGAATTCATTTTTGTGTGGCAGATTATTTATCAACTCGTGAGGACATGTTTGGTTGTTGATATGAGAGGATGAATTATTGTTGCATTATTTTGAATTAAAATGTATGAGAAGGATGCAAGCAAGTCATTCTTCAAAGCGAACATATCATACAAACACATAACAGCAACACAGATTCATCGCCTCGAACACCTCATTGATTGATCACTGGCTTGGAGCAAAACACTCAATCGTCGCGGACCCCACATTGGAAGCCATCATGGACACCACCACGCAAAACATCAATAAAATGTTGAATAAAGCACTCCTTCAAGTGGTGGTGATCCTCCATTTGTGCACTTTTGAGACCCCTGTTGAGTGAGAGATGCACCAGAGGCCCCTCATTGGACCTCATGGACACCACCACGATAAAATTGTTGTGTACAATGGATCTTTGATGAATGACTTCTTTGTCGCCACCAAGTCGTTGAATGTTTTCCAATCGATTTCTAAAGGGTCAAGGCTGAGGATCAGATCCAGCAGTTCAACATTGCACATCTTAATGGAGTCCAAGTGGAAACGGAAATTGAATTGCTTCTTCATCCATGGTGTTGGATGATTATTATATATGTACCTGATGAACTCTGTCTGGTTCACTTTGATGGCACGTGCAATAAATATACACGGGCCAGAATCATACAATCGATCGCTCTGCTTCAATATTGATACCAACTCCACGTCCCCAATATATCCAATTCTTTCAAATGTCGTTTCGTTTGGTTTGACACCATGGTCCAATAGCTTCTTGAACATTGAGTACTGAGGACGACCTGCCATGGTCAGTCGAAGTAAGTTGAGACTTGATGGAGGTGTGTAATTCTTGAAGAGCAAATCGACCATGTCATGGTGGCCCATCTTAACAGCCAACTGAAATTGTTCTTCGAGATTGATTAATGCTGGCGCATTGTTGATCACGTATGACAAATGAGCGATGTCAGGGTATATCAACATGAATCGGATGACCCTGTTGGTGTCTGATACCAGGAACTGGAGCATCTCCAATGATCCTTGGAATGGTGAAACTCGTTGTACCATGTCCAAGACAACTCCCTCATTGAGATTGAGTTGTTGAAGTATCTTTAACTTTTGTGGCGAGTTGTCGGCGTTGAAGATGGGGTTTGGGAGACTGGTGTACACGATCGTATATGAGTCGAACAATGCAGTTAAGACCTTGGCCTGTGTCCAAGTACCATCTTGAATGACCTCCATCAGTATATTCATTTTATCCTTTCCATGCACAGTTGAGTCCTTGATCATCGAAACAAAGAAGGGGATAAGGGTACAATCTCCAGTCTTAATATAGCTTCTGAGGGCATCACCCTGGTTGATGCTGTATGTTGAATTGATAGGGTCAAATCTTGCCAATATGATCTTTATAACTATCAATCTGTACTGATCATCAACGAATGTGCCATCTCTAGATCCGTCCTCGACGACACCAACTATTGTCTCCATCTTTTCCTTTGATTGAGCAAGTGATTCAATGGCCTTGATGTGAAGTAGTTGGAGGTCATCTGTGATCAGTCCATAAAGTGACATTCTTTCAATGTGTTTCCAATACTGCTCCACAGTCGAACTCGATAATGAAGGTAGGTTATAAGATCTCAATGATCTAACCAATTGTGGACTGACCTCGGGGTTGACATTGACCTTGTTTGGTAACAACTCATCAATGAGTTGTTGGTCATTTGTCTTGAGGATATAATTGATTCTTGTGTGAGCAACAGATCGAATGATGGCTGGCAAACCTTGAGGAAAGTTGACAGAGGGCTCGAGCAAGGCGTCTCGGATAAGGCAGCTGTGTATAGTGAGTACCATTTTAGCAAGATCAGTCTTGTCGAATGAGTCACTCAATGAGATGTAGCCATGATCGAGGAGGAACTTGGTCATCTCAACCCTGGATTTAGAATAACACTAAATGATCGTCTCCCATATCGTCTGATGATTGATATCAAACTTAACTGGATGTGTCTGTTCCAACAATGTTTGAGTGATATGTGTGTTTCCAACTTTGATCGACTCTATTAATAAGCTAGAGTTATTGAATAGATGTTGGTATCGTTTATAAATATGGTCAAATGTTTCATTGTCCACTCTACATCTGATCATTGACATGATCTTTGAGAGATCCGGTGCATCAATGTGTAGGTTCCGTTTGATTCGGTCACGCAACAGACCAAAATGGCCATTTGAGACCATACGATCAAAGTTGGTCCAATGATGATACTTGAGCCTGTTCCAAGTAGTTCCAATCCATGCTCCTGAATCTGTCTTGGCGACATCTTTCATTAAAGTGTCTTGATACTGTGCATCATGTATAAGATGTATCTCGTTTACTATTATCCGAAATATCACTCTATTATTGAGTACTCTAAAGTATACTTGTTGATTATCTTGTGATAATGTTGTATTTGTTGACATTGTAATAAATCATTATGAGATTAAAATATAGAGTGGATCAAGTGCTCAACATCTTTATTATAACAATATAGTTGTGAACCGAAATTTCTTAAAATATCTAGAGATGAAGATATTTTGGTTTGGTGGATTATTAGAAAAATAGATTGATTGATTATATTTGACTGTTTGTACAGAAGGTTTATCTTATCTAATTAATAGTTAAAGAAATAAAAATAAGTAAATATATAGATTAGCTTTGAAACTATTAGAATATACTTATAATATTCAATAGAAATTATATTATCAATTGAAAACCATGTCTCCAAGTTGATCAAAAGTACACAGAAAAAACTCAGCTAGAGATAAATAAAAAGTACGCCCAAAGGGGGGCTCGAACCCCCGACCACACGGTTAAGAGCCGTGCGCTCTACCGACTGAGCTATCCGGGCAACTGTGAAGGGAATACATTTTTCATCGGTTAAGAGCCGTGCGCTCTACCGACTGAGCTATCCGGGCAACTGTGAAAGAAAAACATTTTATACCGGTTTTACATATGTAAAAATTCGGTTTTTAATTCAATAAATAAATAACTAAAATTGTAATTTAATTATTTAACTTTGATTCCCTCAATCTTAAAGTCTAACAAATTTTAACTTCACAGATTAATATAAGTTGGTTATAACCACAACTTCTTTGATTGTTTTATCCTGATGTCAACACCAACCACTCTGGTGATTAAAAGTAAGAAGGGGTTAGACGATAGTTGATTGTTATATTTTAAATGGGGGACAGTTTGTCTTGATCAACTCAACTGTCCTGGATACAAATACACCTCTATATCTGTTCTATAGTTGTTCATCATTATTATTTCCTTTTCCCTTTCAACTTAAACTACCATGAATATTTTCATAGTTTGTAAATTAATATTATTACTATCTACTCTTCATTATTCAAATGGACAATATCCTAAAGAATATAAAGAGTGGACCAATGGAACAATGTTTGGGAACTATATGGACTCCTCCAAATGGAACCCTCCAGGACCCTTTACACCATCAGATCAACTGATTATCACTGCCAACAATTGTTTTGTTACAGCAACAAGTGCAATATCAGTAGTTGACTCTTTGATTATTGGAATGAATAATACCAACTCAAACTCCACCTTGATGGTTAACTCATCCTCAATCAACGCCATATCAAATGTTACAATCAATAATGGATCATCAATATTTTTATACAACTCATCAATAACCACAAATTATTTTAATACTATAGGAAGAATGATTATTAATAATAATTCTAATATTATATTGAATGGATTATCATTATTCGCTACTACATCATTTACTCAACTATCAGATGAAAGTAAAATATTTATTCATTATATTACAATATTCAAAGGATTCTCAAACATATCTATTCTGAACGGAAGTTTGGAAGTCAATGGAAATGGAACATTATCATTTATTGATCAATCATTTATGTTTATCAGATATTCAAATATCAATAACTCCGGCTCAATCAACTTCAACTCAACAAATGATTCAACATTTATCCACACATTAATATCAAATAATGGCAATATTTCAATTAATAATGGATGGATAGAGTCATCTTCAATCAACAATCAAGAGGATGGTGTATTTAATATAAGTGGAATAGTAACATTATCAGATACATCAATAAGCTCTACAGGAAACATTAATATTGTCGCTGGAAACATAACTGCATCATTGGTGACTTTGGATGTTGAAGGAGAACTTGAAGTTGGTGGCGCATTGTTCACAAGCTATCATAGTAGATTCAATCTAATCATGGGTGACTCTAAGTTTGGTCCAAACTCCTCCATCGCTCTACACAACACCACAATCTACAACTATCAACTCTCCACTCTCATATTGATTAACTCATCAATCAAAGTTGATGGTGATAGTGAGATTGTAAACATGGGAACAATTATTTGCCAGACCAGTATCATTAGAGGCCCAAACAACAGTTCTGATCAATCGCCTGTCATCACAAATGTTGGAAGATGGTACTCTAATCCACTCAGAGCACCGGTTGACATCCAAGTACCATTCATCAATCATGGCAGTATGTTGTTATCCAATGGTGTGGTATCATTCCAGAGTTTCAAACAAGAGCTTGGTGTTATCATTTTGGATTCGATCTACATCCTGTCCAATGCCATTGTAAGAGTGGAAGCGGGATCAATTGTTGGAATAGGACGTATTGGAAACACATTGAATAACTCTGGTACACTTGGAGAATCATATCAATTCACCAAGATTGACATTGATGGAGATTGTCACCAACTACCAACATCTACTCTTCGCATCATGATTGACACTGATGATCAATCGCTTGGTATGTAGTCATTGATATGAGCCATGATCATTGATTGATAAGTATATTAACTTGATGTCCAACACCATTTCCTCAGTGAATGTGAGTGGCGATGTATATCTTGATGGCGCTCTGTCGATTCGATTGGGCTTGGGTGTGCCAGTGGGTCAAGAGATAGTCTTCCTCAAATATGAATCGATAGTTGGTGACTTCCAATCAGTGGACATTCGTACATTTGATGAACTTGGTGATGACATGGATGAATCAACGTGCCAATATCAACTGAACAGAGGTGAGAAGTCATACTCAATACTCGTAACACAGTGTACTAGTCAAGTTGGAGCTGATGGTGGTGGTGGTGGTGGTCATGGTGGTCCAAGTATGATAATAGTTCCAACTAATGTTGTCATTGGATCAGTTGTTGGCGTTGCATTCATTGTACTAGGTGCTGGAACCATCATCTACTTCCGTCACAAGATTCAACGTAACCTCAAGTACTACATGGAACAGAGAAGAGCATCATCCTCCAAGCATATCGCATTCACCTAATCTACTTCCTATTGTAAATATGTATTAATAAAGTTATTAATTATCTCTATCGTTCACTTGAGAATGAACCAAAGCATGTACTCCCCCCTTCACTTTTGTTTTAAGACAAACAACTTCCAAAAGCATGTACTCCCCTTCAATTTAGTTCAACCATACATAACTTATAACATTATTGTTCAAATAAGTTGTAGTAGTAATAGTTAGTTAGTAGTATGAGACAAGATATACTTCAATATCATTGGTTTAAGCTCAATGTTGTTGTTGATCAACAACATGAAGGTGATGATCAAGGAGTGACACTTGAACATCCTCAGTTACAACATCCAGGCGATACACTCAAGCATTACTTGTTTGTTTATAGATTAGACAAGTACAATAGATTGAGATACAAAGATCTATCATCAGATAGTGACAGACAACAATATCTATGTTATCCAACTGGTAGACCAGAGACATTGACTGCATTCACAATCAAACAACCTTCGATCTCAAACAACAACACTGCATCATCATCAACTACATCAACTTTACCAAATGCATATGTATCGACATCGTTTGCAAAGAGATTCAGATTGGAGCAGGATGATATTATACATGTCAAAGTGACACCAGTTTCGGCCGTCACATTGGACAGGGTGGTACTGTTGTCAAATGATCAGCTGTCATTCAACAGTGCAGTGATGGATGATAGTGCTAGCGGTGAGACTTCAACGAGGAAGAAGTATCAAGCCAATCAATCATTCAAGAGTCATTTGATTGAAAAGTCCGTCTTGTTCAATCAAGGATGTTCATTGCAGATTGATAATGGACGATTATCATTCGATGTGATGGAGTGTAGTCCAATGCTCCAAGGTTCAATCGACTCTACGACGACCATCATTGTTGTTGGACCCGATGAAGCATCACAACTTCGCAAGCAACAACAAGGAGAAGTCGCATCACCAATCAATCAATCAATCACACAACAACAACAACAACCAGCATCATCTTTGGCATCGAGCAATCTTAGGATATCAAGGTTCATCATTAAGCCATTACCATCACCACTGTTCCACCTCAACCCCAACGCCAACAGCACGTTGTTGGACAACAAGGTCACACTTAGACAGTTACCAACCATCTCACACGACATCTTCTTGTCGCTGGTTGATCCCACCTACAACTACCTCTGCGACGCAATCGTAACACTGGAAACACTAAAACAATATAAACTGTACCATGGCAATCAGATCAAACTAAAGTCATTGGTCAACGACAGCGCCAACAAGAACATTGTTGTCAAGATCTTCTCGATCATGGCCTTTGACGACGATCAATCATCCCTGGTCAAACAGCTCCAGATCGAGGATGGCTATCTCTACCTCCCACCTCTCTCCCTATTCAATCTTGGCATCGACCCCAAGGCAGCGTTGTCCATCACGCCACTCGGCCCATTGCTCTGTTCGACAAACAAGACTTCATCGACGACGATGCAAGCTGAGCTCTCGAGCAAGACAGCATTCCCGACGGCCAGCAAGATGATCATCTCACGAGTCAAGTGCAATCGATCGAGTGGTCTCGCCACGTACACACATCAGCTGGGTCAGTATTTTGACACGGTGAGGATCATGAAGGAAGGTGATTTGTTTGCTATCCCCTTGGATTACTCGGATGAGTCGACAACCACGACAACAACTCACAAATCATCGATCTTCTTCCGTGTCGAGTCCATGCAGGCATCGGTCACTCCTGATGAGGATGGCGACAATCTATGTGTTGTGGACAAGGAAAAGACCACACTCATACAGGAGGGCTCGTGCCAATCACTCCTTCCCGGTCAATTCCAATCGTTCTACAGTCGCGGCGAGCAGACCGACTTCATTGTCTACGATCAAGAGTTCAAGAGGCTTGTCGAGCTCACACTGCCATTCTTCCACACGTTCGACTTCAACTTCAACTGCACCATATTGGTCAAGGGCGCACCAGGCGTGGGCAAGCGCACACTCCTGCGACAGGTGTCCAACGTGCTCGGACTGCACATATTCGAGATCGATTGCTATCAGCTGTACAGCTTCAATGAGATGGAGAAGGAGTTCAATCTGAAGCGCATATTGGAGGAGGCCGCCGAGGCCGTACCATGTATGCTGTTGCTGTCCAACTTTGACGTGCTGGAGCAATCGCCATCGTCCATTCAACAGGAGAAGAAGGAGTCCAACATCCCCAATATACTAAAGGATGTCATGCAAACCATCAATGACAAACTATCAATGATGGAAACCACTTTGACCATGAACTCTGGCTCAAAGGGATCAATATCCACAACACCTCCTCCACCTCATCCATTCATTGTTGCTGCCACAGTCAAGTCCACAGATGACATGTCTGGAAAGCTTAGAAGTTGGTTCAAATATGAGATAGCACTTGATGTAAGTCCATCACTGGATTCATTCCAATAAATCAATCAAACTAACACAATCGATCAATCACTTGTAGGCACCTGATGAGACACAAAGACTAAAGTTGTTGAACAACATATTCAAGACTATACCGATCAATCACTCTGTGTCTTTGAAGAATGTGGCGATGAGGACTGCTTCATTCCTGCCACTCAATCTAAAGAACTTGGCCGAAAGGTCTGGCATGCGTGCTCTAAAGAGAGTCCTGAATACAGAGAGGCATGTATCCCCTCTTCCTACTCATCCACCACCTCATCCCATCCTATACTAACATGTTATGAACCACGACGACACAGATCAATACTACCAGAGGAGATATGTAACTGTGGAGTCAATATAATCAATGATGATATTTCTGATGCATTGACCGAGATGCAGGGCTATCAATCATCGTCGATTGGTGCTCCAAAGATTCCAAATGTGAAGTGGGACGATGTTGGTGGCCTCGCCTCTGTAAAGAGTGAGATCATGGACACGATTCAACTGCCGTTGGAGAACCCACATCTCTTTGCCTCGGGCATTGGCAAGCGCTCGGGCATCCTGTTCTACGGCCCGCCTGGCACAGGCAAGACCCTGCTGGCCAAGGCCATCGCCACAGAGTGTGCGCTCAACTTCCTCAGCGTCAAGGGACCCGAGCTGATCAATATGTACATTGGAGAGAGTGAGAAGAACATTCGAGATATATTCAACAAAGCTCGACAGGCCAAGCCATGCATCATCTTCTTTGATGAGTTGGACTCGCTTGCACCAGCACGTGGAAATGGCGCCGACAGTGGTGGAGTGATGGACCGTGTCGTCTCTCAGCTGTTGGCCGAGCTTGACGGAATGCAAAAGTCATCCGACGTCTTTATCATTGGTGCGACCAACCGTCCTGACCTCCTAGACCCATCACTCATGGTCCCAGGTCGACTGGACCGATTGCTCTACCTTGGCATCAGCACAGACAAGGAGAATCAACTCAAGATAGTCCAAGCGTTGACCAGAAAGTATGTGTCACACGATCACTCAATCACTCAATCACTCACTCATGCATCCATACTAACTTGTCCCCTTGAACATAGGTTCCATCTTGGAGATGATGTGGACTTGAAGGCCGTGGTGGAGAGATGCCAAATGAACTTGACTGGATCGGACTTCTACGCGCTTTGTTCGGATGCACTGGCCAACTCAATCAAGGACATGATCAATGCTTTGGAAGCAAAGAGACAACAGAACAAGTTGAGTGATGAGGAGCTGGAGAACGAAGATCAACAGGTGGTCGTCTATCAGAAGCACTTTATGGATGCGGTCGACTCGCTTGTACCATCGGTGAGCCAAGACGAGATGGCCTATTACACCAAGGTACAGAAGCAATTCAGTGCAAAGAAGAAATAACAACAGACTTTGATTGATGGAATACATTATCCTTAGTTTATTCAAACATAGGTTTGGCCATCCCATGCTCGGATAGGCAGGGACAGGCTAGTCATCCACATGATTGCTTTGCTAGTTTAGTTTAGTTGTTTGGTTGGTTAAATATGATTGATTGATTGGTTGGTTGAAGTTATGGATAGAGGAGGGGAGGGAGAGAGAGGGACGATGAATCAAGGACGGGTGTACACTGAATTGATTCTGTGCTGTTGTTGGATGTTTTGTTGTTTACTGTTGTTGCTAACGTATGTTACTGAAGGGTTTAGAGAGCCTTGCCCAAGAACTTTCTCTTGGAGAAACAGATCCACCACTTGTTTGGTCTGGCTGGCTCGGTGTAGCATCTCTGGACAAGACGAACACCACACTCAAGTCTCAACTGAGTCAATGCTTGACGCATAGTATCGGCGGCTAAAAGGTAGTAGGTAGTGATGGAAGATGTCAGTGACTACAACAACAACAACAACAACAACTACAATGATGTGTGATAACAGATACATACCATCACGGGTGTTTGGAATGACAACCAAACCTCCAAGTGGGAAGGCAGCCTCACCTGGGACAGAGAATTGCTCCTGAGCCATGGTGAAGAGTTGCTTCTCGGCGTCGGCCTTGCTGAGGTTGGCGATCTTAAGAAGACATTTGGTGATGTACAGAGTGAGGTAGATCAGGACACGATCTCCGTTTCCTTGGACCTCAAAGTTGCGGAACAAGATGTTGGCCTTGAAGAAGTCCAAAGCCTCATCAATGCAATCAACTGAGTTTGGATCTGTTGTTGTTGTAGTAGTAGTAGTTGAATTGAGTCAGTTCATATTCAATCAATAACTCGAGTTGATGATAGATGCTGCTGTTGCTGTTGTATGCTGCTTATTCTTTGTATCGCATTCGCATCATCATCATCATTATCATTTAAAACACATACCCGCCTTTGGAGCTGGTCCCTTGTGGTTGGTCTTGATTGGCAAGATTGGGAAGTTACCAATAGCACGGTATTGGCTCTCGTCTGCGTTGAAGTTTGAGTGATAGACCTGTATTGTTCAATTGTTTGTTGTATGAGTATCGATAATCCAATTATCTTTGAATGCTGTAGTTTGCTAAATGATCGCAATCATCTCCTGTAATGATTCATTCATTCAGTTCATTCATTGATTCATACCATTGTTGTTTATTATTAATCTACAGGGATATGTGTGTTATAAATACAAGATAATATATATATATATAATGATATGATTGAATTGATGATGATGATAATAATATTGAAGTCTAGACTAGATAGAATGATGAAGGGTATTCAGGACAAAGTGGTGTGTGTGAGTGGCTTGGGTATAGAGAGGCAGCAACTGGTCCAGTCTGGTCAGGTCCATACTCTCTCACAAAATGAATGATAGTGATGGTGTGTTCATCCCATTCAATCTATAAAAATTAAAAATAAATAAATATACCCACTTCATTTGATTCAGATTTTTCACATCACTCTCATTCACAAGAAGCCATCTGGATGGCTTGGCTTTTTGTTGAAGTTTGTTGTGTTGTCATCCATCCATCCTACCTACATTAATTGAAAGTTATGGTCAACAAAGGGGCATTGCAAGTGTAAGAGTGTAGACTATTCCATGTAATAGTATCTCTATCATAACTTGGACATTGTATATATTTGTATAATACAATCCAATATAGATGATTATAATGATCAGGTTCTGGCAACAATACAATGACAAAAGAGATCGATGGGAGGAGGTCGAACTATAAAAGCGGTGTTTTTTTTGATTTAATATATATATTGTATATATGTATATGTATGGTATACTAGTCTATCTAAAGGTCAATCAATCATGGTATCACATTGGTGATTGAGGTATTATTATTATTAATGGTGGATGGGATGGGATGGATGGGATGGGATGGATGGGATGCTGAGCAAGAGAAAGTTGATGTTGTATTTACAGACTATTGATGGATGATGATGATGAAGTGTTGGACGGTGATATGCTTATTTAGGTAACTCTACACCTTCAAAGTACTTGTGATTTAGAGCTGCCTGTGCGGTAATTCTTTGACTTGGATCATATTGGAGCATCCTTTGAAGGAGGTCCAATCCATTGGCATCCAATCCGTGAACGATGGATGATAGTGGGTGAGGTGGATGCACGGGGAAGTCCGGCTTGTACTCTGGCAACTCCTTGATCGTTGGCCATATCGCTTCGTTGGGTGTGCCCATAATCTTAAATATTCTGAACAACTGATCGCTTGTTCCAGAGCCCGGGAACAATGGTCTTCCAGTGACCATCTCTGCAAATATACATCCTGCTGACCATATATCGATTGGAGTCGAGTACTTCCTGGAGCCCATCAATACATCCGGTGCTCTGTACCAGAGTGTGACGACCTCGTGCGAGTACGTCCTCACTGGAATGCCAAATGCTCTGGCCAGACCAAAGTCTGCCAGCTTCAACTCGCCTTTCCTATTAATCAACAGATTCTGTGGCTTGAGATCTCTGTGCAACACTCTGTGCTCGTGACAGAATGCCACACCTCGCAGCAACTGATACAAGAATGACTTTATCGTTGGCTTGGCAATCTCTCCGCCACACTCATCCATGTACTTCTTAAGATCCTGATCAAGGTATTCAAATACCAATGTCAACTTCCTCTCTGTATGAATTACATCGTACAATCTGTTGGATGGATGATGTTAGTTCGACTTGCATCGCTTCACATCATATCTCACCATCACATACCTGACAATGTTTGGATGCTTCAGTTCCTTCAACAATGATATCTCTCTGATTGCTGTGCAGGGCACTCCTTCGTCTTCAGAGTCCAAACGTATCCGTTTGAGAGCTACAATATCTCCAGTGTCACGATTCTTTGCCTTGTAGACGATACCATATGTACCCTCTCCTAGCTTCTCAATCTTTGCGTATTTCTCCATATTATATTATAGTTATTGACTCTTCTTCAAGGTATTCCTACAATATCTATGTATATCTAAATATTATCAATATATGTCTGTTCAACTAATTAGATTGATTGATTGATTGATTGATTGATTGTTTGATTGATAGTGCTGTCTTCTGGAGCTTGACGAACGAATGCTGTTGTTGATGTTGTTGCGCTACTGTATATGTGTGTCTGGATGAATGAATGAATGAATTGAATGGAAACAATTTATGTATTTGTTCACAAAGCGTAGAGTGGTGAAGAATGAATGAATGATGTGAGCTTGAATGTGTGTGAATGAGCAGTGGACCGACAACATTGATGTGCTGTGATATATACCCTCAATCGATGATCATCATCACACCAACACATCATTCAACTCAACTCACACTTCATTCCATTCGCTCTCAATATGCATGTCTTTATCTTCTCCCTCTCTATTCTTTCTCAGATGAACAACACAATTGTGTATGTTTGTGTGAGTTTGAAAGGTAATAATAATACATACTTTGAATTTGATATATTGTACTTCTCTATTACATGTAGCAGTAATTTGTAAATTGAATAATAATTAAACATCGAGGTAACTTCACGAGACAGAGTCCATTCACCAAAAGGAAAGAGAATGGGGACCAAATTTGGTTCAGAGAAGCCCTTAACATTCATTCATTTGGGCCATGTTCTGGAAGCTCTTGGACAAGGTGAATGAAATGTCCGTCCGATTGATTGATTGAATGAATGGTTGAACTTGGCTCGCTGCTAGCGGTGGCACCGTGGGTAATGAATGTGTTTCCAATCATCAATCTATTGATTTATATTGATTGGAAATGTATATTCTATGTTCTATTCTATTTGTACAACAAAAGTATCTTGATTGATTGTCTTGACATCATTATATCTTTGTATTACTGAGCAGATGAAGTAACTCGCCACATATCGCCTTAACCTTATCATCAGCCTGTTGAAAGTTGAATGCCTTTCCTGTATCAAAGTCCATCTGTGTAAAGAATGCTAGTATCTGTGTGTTGTAAAGTAGAGTAAGATTATTATTATTAATACATCTGAATGATATGTTGTGTTTCGAAACACATACTGAGTCTCGGACCAAGTAAAATGAGAACATGTTACTATCACCTCTAATATGAATATGTTGTACCTCGTCTTGGTATTGAAGTGTTGCACCTATAATCATAAAGTATGTACAATGTTAGTGCTCTGCATCTTTGCTCCTCGTTCATTCAACATCATAACCATACCAAATGTTATAGCATAGGTCTTCAGTTGATGTATAGTAGTTGTAAGGTCTTTCTCTTTCTGTCCAACTGTACTTGATGATGTTGTTTCGACACTTGATTGATTGATTGATCATTGTAGAGTAGGGTGTCAATCATTGATTCATTCATACATTCATTCTTTCGATCAATCAATTAAACAATGTGACCTACATAATCTCTCCATTCTTGTCCATTATAATACAGTTTGATGTCATTGGAAACAGTAATTGAATCTCTTTCAGTTTGTTCTGCACCTGTTTTAGTAGCTTTGGTGCTATTGCTGCATTACTTCTATTACAGTTTGTCATTTCTCTATCTCTATTTATCTGTAATTATATATATGTTGAATGTTCTCTCATTCATCGCTTTGACAACTTTTGAAGCACTTTCTAATCTTTGTTTGTTTTTCGCTAGGTGTGTTTGTGTGATGTGGGAGATGCGTTGATTGTTCTGTTGATCTACACAACCCAAAAAGGACATTGTGTATCACTGACCATATTAGGTTCAACAGATATCACATGTCATTCAATCATTACTATTTATATACATGTCAAGATCTAAACACATTCTAGAAAAGGAAATGTTTAAGGAGGAGGACATGTACATGGACTTCCATTCACAATATCCTTCCTATACTCATTCATTTATTCATTCTTTCATTGACATGTCCAGACAGATAGAGATAGAGATAGAGAGTTGGAAGCAAGGCATATAACATTGCCAAGGAATGATGAATAGTAATATAGAGTACATTGATGTTGACAAGGATGATGATAATGATGTGGTACTGGAAGAATTAGACTTTGAGTTTGATATTGATGTTGATGTTGGACAGAATGTAAAGAATGAACAACAGGGAGAACAAGGAGAGATACAGATTGATATTGAGGAAAACGATAATGATGATGGCGATTCGATAACTGTATCACCAATGTTTCCAAAGACTCCATTGCAACCACAGCCACATCAACATGGAAGTCCAGATATTGACTCATTCTTTGGTAGCAGTGGTGATACTCCTATTATACCCAAGGATCAACAATTCCAACCTCCACAACCACCGACATCATTATCAACAACCAATGATATGTCGATGGGTCCACCACCAGATACTACCCACATTGAATTGGATGACTTTGAGTTTGACCTGGATGATGGTGTTTGCACTCCAGCTGGATCATCAATGACCACCACACACAATGGTAATTGTTCAGTTTGCAACCAACTATTCCATGTATATCTAACACCTATTTAATGCAGAGACACCATTACTACCTGAAAGACCAATTCACCAGAATGACCTAGATTCATTCATAGGTATCCTGTCAAGGGATACCATTCACAAGGCCAACAAAAGTACTACCCCAAACATTGGGGCTGCTGTGGCATACACACCCAAACATCAGTTCTTCAACCAAGTCCACTACAACATCCACACTCATCTGATCAAATACAACTCATCACTATTGGCACTTCTACCAACAATATCGCATCAACCAATAGTTTCACTCACCATATCCAATCTACTACATCAACATCACCAGCGTAGACATCTTTGGATATCATCCAACTTGGGTGACCAACAATATCTTGAATCAATATTCTCCAAAGAGGCACCGCCAGAGTCTTTCCAGGTGATCAGCAATCAACATCAGTCGGTCCGATCTGGTACCCTAATAGTATATATCCAACGTGATGTCTTGGCATTCATGATCGCCAATAACAAGTATGTATATCTATATTCACCCAATAAATCAATTATACTGACTTATATGAATGAATCAATGATAGGATCACAGTTTCGAACTACCAATATATCTATTATGACGCATGTGCAAATGATACCATGTTGTTGGATGAGAAGGAAAGGTTCCAGAAGTTGACACAAGGTGCAGGCTCAATCATTTTGTTGTCTAACCAACATCCATCGTAAGTTAAAAATCCACCTCATTGTCGTGGAACTAGGCTGACTAACAACAACAATCAAACACTCACTTTAGGGACTACTCAATGTTTTGGAGATGCTTCAAGATAGAGGTATGAATGAATGACCGACCGAAGCACTACAATTTGACTAACCGTTATCCAAATAGAATGTATTCACATTTGTAATGAATGAGAACTTGTATCCAAGACTCAAGGATACAATTACATTGGAGATCAATGGTATGAATGTTTATGGTGTGGACTCTTAGCTTGGCCATTAGTTAACCATCCCATAATCCATTAGTTGCAATCAAGACCATCATTGGTGAGATTGAGAGGTGTATCATGGACATATCATATCGACTACAATCCAAGCAGGCAAATATCCAACCTTTGAAATGTCTTCCACTCAGGTCAATGCTTCCAGGGTACTCTCAAGATCAAGATGTTAGACATTTCCAATATCTGAACAATCTACTACTTCGACTGATCAATCAAGGAATTAGTATAACAAATGAGTATATCAAGTCACATCCTATTGATCACCAGACTGGTAATTACTTGGAACATGATAGGTGGATAGCAGGTCAATCACTAACTGAATCATTCAATCAATCTATCAAATATAGATTCTATGAAAAGGTTGTTCGAGACCATTGATATGAATTGTTCAGAGATTGAGGCTGGCATCTTGAACGATCACATCAAGTATGACAAACTATTGAGTATTGTCAACAAACACTTCAAGCAATATGCAGAGAATCCAGTATCCCCACTGAAGGTAGGATTGATGAACACCGTCCTTCAGGCTAATCAATCTGACCATTACCAATTCCAACATCTAGATATTGATCCTTGTAAAGGACGCCACATCAATTGGAATGATTACAAAGATTATTCAAAAGACTGAAGGAATAGCAATATATCCATTGACCACTCAATCAATGTATGTACAACTATATTTGTTTGTTCCTTGATGGATTGATCCAGAGACCTGACATGTCATATTGATTTGGAAAGGAATCAATCCATACCACTTAGAGCCAATTGTATAATATGTTCACTGGATGATATATGTGGACAACAACGATCAATCAACTGGAAGGGTTACTCTGTCATCATTGAGTTTGACTACTTCACTCATGATCAATGCCAATATCTATCGACCTACAATGTATACAATCAAGCCAAGTATGTGCACTCATTCATTCATCCAAACAATCAACCAAATCAACTAACTTACAAGTTCAATCAACTAAAGGATTTACAACTTTGTGTTGGACATCAACTCTGTTGCCATTGAGTTTGGAGAGGACAGACAGTTCAATGAGATGCATCATCTACTTCGAGATATATACTTTCCATGCCACAATGATGATGTGATAAGGAAGAATACGTATGAGCCAGTCAACATCAAGAAGATGTCACTCAACAAACAACTGGAACAACTTGTTAGAAAGCAGACAAAGGACACCTTGAAGCCTGACAACAATCACAACACGGTGCTTGACAAAGAGACATCACTACACCTATATCATCACATATCATTGGTCGCTGGAGAGTCTATATTGAAGCGCACACATATGATCAATCATCTGGAGAAGGAGTACAATATGACATTGATCGAGCGAACAGTCAAGAATGTGGACATTGTGTTTGACGAAAGAAATGGACTGATGGTGGTCGACCACTCCATGCGAATGGACAATGTCATTGATGCATTGATAGAACTATCACTTCAATTCAATGTTGTATGGATCATCATTGAGATGGACGAGCACAAATTGTTCTCGGCACAGAGCAAAGATGCATGTCGTCAACTATCAAGCATCCTAAACTTCCTCCAATGCCGTGTGTACATTCGCTACACCTTCTCATATCAACAATCAGCCCTGTTGATCAGGGAGATCTGCGAGTCAATACCAAAGGATAATTCAACATGGGAGAATGTAAGTTGAAGTTAATCTTTCATTCAATCATTATTGATTGATCACTAACTTTTGATTGCAAAGTCACTGGAGACATGGTCAAACAGGAGATGGTTGATGGATTTGGAATCCAAGCATGAACGATTCCTAAATAGGATACCAGGATTCAATCCATTCTCTGCACAGTTGATACTTACATGGACATCACTCGATCACATACTTTCATCAAACATTCAATCATTGCAGAATGAGTACAAATGGTTGAGTAACAAGTCATGGGTAAGTAATTGGTTACGCGACCACGATGAACAATAATAATAATATTGACTTGGGCCAAAATAATAGAGATACGCCACAAGGATATTAGGAATACCTGAGAGGATTGAGGAACAACATACCAATCCAACTTCAACAACCAAGGTTGTAAAGAAGCCAAGGCTGACATTAACTGCCCCAACTCAGAAGCAACATCTTACATTGAAGCCTCAACCACTATCACTTCAACCATCACTGGTACAACCTCCACATCCACAAATATCAACGACAGCCTCACAACAACCATCATCACATAGACAGACCACCAACCAACGTCCAAGACTATCACTCAAACAAGTGGATCCTAAACAAACAAAGATTGATCAATACCTCAATAAAAGACAATGAGTCCGAGAGTGAGCCAGTAAGTGATTTGGCGCCAAATTTTGCATTATGGCTCATATCAGTTGTTTACCCAATAATGATCACATCAAGTGTATGTTATGTTTATTATAGTTACCCGCCATAACTTTGAGTTATAACTATTCCAATGAACCCATCAATGATCTTGTTATCTACGTCATACATCCAACCAAACAAACACATTCATTCACATACACATCAACACAAAGAAATAAAATCAATTATGATTTTTAAAAAGTGATGTTGTTGTTGTTGTTGTTCTAGTTGTTGGAAACACTGAAGGAGGGTTGTTTATTGTTGTTCGTGTTGTGACTTCTCAACAGCTAATACTGTAATTTATTAAGATTACTAACTAATCAATCAAGGTTTCAAAAGTATACATATATTAAATCATTCATTACTTGATATATATAGGTAAGATTCATACTTATACAACTACAACAATAATTACAACAACAATCACAACAATGAAAACAATGACAACAATGACAGGATCACTCTCATATCTTATGCAACGATAAGTTACTGCATAAACATCTCACACTCATTCATTCTTTCAATCTACAACAGTTCGATGTTCATTCGAATCGACGCGAAGTCCCCAGTGAACAACATAAACACTCATACACTCATACATCACATCACATACATACACATATTCATACATACACATACATTCATACGCACATACATATATATCTTATCCTCTCTACATACTTGTCGTCTCTTTTACTACCGCATTAGGACATTTATCTTTGGACTCGGCAACTGTTGGCAGTCTGATAACTGTCACACGGACAACCCCCTTTGTTCATTTTTTTGAATTCAAATTCGAACAACAACTGCTTCATTCATTCCCACACAAACACGAACACTCAACACAACCAACCAAACAAGTGCACTAACATTGTTCCTCAGTTCAGTTCAGTTTAGTTCATTCAGATCCGAGAGAGTTGAGCTCATTGAGTGAACAACAATCGCATCGAGCGTAATCTCATCTATATATACATTCATATATATATCAACATCAATCAATCAATGGTCAGAAGCCAACATACTACAGTCAATCAACAATCGACTGCAGCGACGGCAGCTGCAGGATTCCAAAAGATAACAGCCTCAACCAATATGAACAACAACAATAGTAATATACCATCATCTATGATGAATGGACATAATGTAGCGGGTCATGCAAGTTTGGCAACAATACCAATGCATCACAATGGTGGTGTGACGCCATTCAGTGATATGATCAATCACTTACAGAGATCCAATTTTGCCACCAATGGTAATGGCAATGGCAATGGCAATGGTAGTGGTCCATTTTCATCATCTCCACCATTCCCGCTATACCCTCCAGTCAATGGGATGTCCCTGCCACCCATCTCAATGGCCACGGTCACCAATGGTATTGGTGCCGCCACAACTACCACCCCTGGCAGGTCCATGTCAATTGACGACGTCAACAATAACAACAACAATAACTACAACATGACCATCAATGACAATGATAATGATAATGAGGAAGACGACGAATATTATGAAGACAATGATAATGATGACGATGACGCAAGCAGCACAACAAGCACTAGCACAGGCGCAGGTACGGCCACAGGCAGCACAGGTTCCAAGGGCAAGAGGTCCAGCACACGCATAGTTTGGACACCGTTCGATGACCAGGTACTCAAGCAGGCGGTCGACGAGTACAATCATAGGAATTGGAAAAAGGTGGCTGAGCGTCTGCCTGGTCGCACCGAGGTGCAATGTCATCACCGATATCAAAAGCTGATGATGACCATCACAGTCAAGGGCTCATGGACTCGCGAGGAAGACGAACTGATCAAGAAACTTGTAAACATATACGGTCCAAAGAAGTGGTCTGAGATTGCTCTTCATCTCAAGGGTCGCTTGGGCAAGCAATGTCGAGAGAGGTAAGTCCTTGGTCCTTGCTTGGCATATCCAAGATCACTCACTCACTCAATCAATCACATTAGATGGCACAATCACTTGAATCCAAACATCAAGAGAGATGCATGGACTGAAGAGGAGGATAGGATCATTGGTGAGAAGCACGCAGAGTATGGAAACAAATGGGCAGAGATCGCCAAGTTCTTGCCGGGCAGAACGGACAATGCCATAAAGAATCATTACAACTCATCAATGAAGCGAACAAAGAAGGGTCAACGACAGGACGCCAGGACCAACAACAAGAAAGACAACTCAACCAAGAAGCGCAAGTCAACATCTACATCAGAAGACGGTCATCATCAAGCCAATCCATCAGTTGGCAACGATCCACACCCAATGGGCGACCCACTCTCCCTGGACATTGCATCACTCCAACAATACATCCTTTCAGGCAACTCGCCAAAGTCAATGTATGTACCATCCTCCAACATACTCATCGTCCAGTTACTAACTCTTTCCAAAGGCCCAAGGCACCATCACCTTTGAAGCTAGTATTCAACACACCTGGCCACGGTAACAACTCACACAACTATGTTACCGGTCAACACGTTGACCTACATCAACTGGTATCTCCCATCAAGCTATATTCAAACTCTGGACTACTCAAGAAGAAGGCGAAGATTGACTTTTCACCATCGGTAAGTCGGGGAATTGTCGCGTGACGCGTGACATGGGAGGCTGAGGCCATGAGCTCATCGTCTAACACACACGCGCTCAACCAGAAACAAACGCCAGAGCATCAACAACAACATCAACTACATCAACAACAACAACAATATCCAGACAATAGTATATTCTATTCACCTATTCAGAGGGCACATGACAGGTCGACAATGGCCGCAGACATATCAGAGTTCTCACCATTCAAGTCAATGTTTGGTACACCAAGTGGATCGGGACAAGTCTACGACTATGATCCAATGAAGACAGCAATGTTCAGTCCTTATAAATCACCAATACATCATCAACAACAACAGCATCAACAGTACTCACCTCTATACCACCTGCCGCACAACAACGGACTTTTATCATCATCATCATCATCACCATCACCAAAGAGTAGACACCAGTTGCCAACGCCATCGTCACTGCACGTCCTTCCCACGCCTACCTGGAGCAACAACACAAGCGGCAGCAACGCCAACAACAATGGTATACTCAATGGTGACATGGACGCACATCGTTCAAAGCTTGGCATCCACATGACCGACAGAGGCGTCGACAAAAACCAGCTCAGCACAATCAACTCGAAGCTCAGAGGTGAGCCCAACTACAACAACATCAGTGGACTCAATGACAACTACTTTGTACCAATGACACCTTTCAAGGACACGACATCCAGCTTTGTGGACTCATTGTCGCTCTCTGACATTGGCTCGATGCGCTCATCAATCTTGTCAACGCCCGGATCATCAAGGGACAAGTCGCGCATGTCTAACAAGCCTCACCTGCCTCTATCATTCAGCAGTAGCAGCAACAACAGCAGCTGTGTGAGTGGGCCAGCTTCATCAACCAGTTTCACTATGGACGATCAATCATCGTTGTACATAATGGAGTCGAACAACAACATCAGCAACATCAGCAACAACAGCAACAACTTATCCCTTATCCAACACACCACTACCACTTCCAACTCGAATGATTGTTCATTCGAGGCTTTGCGACGACTGAGTAATGACTCTAAACAATCGATATTCAATAAGGCCAGGAGGATATTGGAGAGCACCAATGACACCAACAGGAGTCAGGACCGTATCAACATCTCTGACATCCAAGTTCCATACACTCCAATATCCACATCACATCACTATCTTGTGACACCAATCACAAAGGTACCCTTTCCAACCAACACCATCGCCACAGTATCTTGATATCTTGATGGATGATTGATTGATTGATTGATCATTATTGTACAGAACCAGAACTCCTACCTCCTTCTCCTTCTCATTCCCCTTCACCATTTACATGGATAATTAATGGTACCATATCCATATATCCAATAAAGTTATATCCTATTTATGTTATGTACATCTCTTATTCATTCATTCATTCATTCATTATGACATGGACACAGTCCACAAGAATGAGGTAGTGGGTAAAGTAGGAGTTAGGGTTGAAGATGAAAGTTGAAGAAGAGTGTGTTGAAGCGAATGAAGAGGGGGAACTCGAGAGATGCAAAGAAGTTGATGTTCACAAGAACATAAATTAAACATTAACAACACGCCATCCCCATTCATATTCATATTCATACTTGTACATAGACATAATAGTTAATACATACATATACTTAAGAATGACAACAAATAAGACAACAGCTAGTATAAATCCATTCTTTAATAAAACTAAACTGGATGAGTTGTTTGATGCTGCAAAGGCTGGTGATGTTGATAAGGTCAGAACGTTTATAGAGAAGGATGGACTAAAGGCCGACGCATTGGATGAGGACGAGAGAACATTGTTGCATTGGGCCGCCGCAAATGGTAGAATGGACGTAGCAGCCTACTTAATTAACGAACATAAGATATCGCCAAATACATGTGACGACGGAGGATGGACCCCGTTGCTCAGTGCCAGCAGCTCAGGACACGCACATATGGTTCGTCTACTGCTGGAGAACAATGCCGATGCCAACTGTGCCAACGAGGCCAAGAGGACACCGCTGCACTACGCTTGCTCCAAGGGCAAGGCTGACATTGTGGACCTGCTGCTGCAAAATGGCGCCAAGTCCAGGAAGGACGACACTGGTGCCTCGCCAATACATAGAGCCGCGGCCAATGGATCGGTGGTGATCATCGAACGATTGATCAAGGCTGAGAAGAACAACATTGACTCACAGAATGTTGAGGGAGACACTGCTGCTCACATTGCAGTGATGTATGGCTATGACGAAGTTGTCACCTTGTTGCTATCACTTGGCGCAGACTTTACCATTGAGAACAAAGAGAAGAAGACACCAATCCAACTGGCATCACCAAGTATCAGGTATATAATAGAAGGTAAGTGTAGAATAGAGATAGATTATACTTTGAATGCGTGTTGGCACTCATACTCACTCCACATCGCACCCCCTCCTTGTAGAGTACAAATGATGTCTCGGCTGTCTGTGTCGCTGGCGATACCTTTGTCTGTCTGTCTGTGGACGAGCCCATTGGCAGTTAAGTGATTGTGGTGCTGCTGCAGCGGATGGTATTGTGGGAAAAGTCAATCGAATGGTTTGTAAGTTAACTTGGGTCACAAGGGTTTCGTCACAGCCGCACATTTAGTCCTCTCCTTGGTGATTGGACGTACCAAGCACGAGCCCAACTACACATTCACTAACTTATTCATTCTCATTCATTCACCAAACAGAGAGAGAATAGAAGGTCAACACAACAACACACACATACCCACTACTGCACTGAATGAATGAAACAACAACAACGACCTCCTGGATGCTGATGGACGGACCAAAGCAAAGTAAGCTTCCAACTAAAAAAAGAATCCAAAGAGTGGTCGTGTTTCAGTGAACCCTCAGCACCTTTTGTTTCTTTTTTTTCAGTTTTGGACCTCTGATGGATCGGGTCTCGATCGCTGATTGCCCACTCCACATCACAGGGCAAAGTCAATCCTGATGCTCTGGCATCAAGCGACTGGCAGGGCACTTGGTTATAATAATGCTGGATTTTATCAGGCTCCGTATCAAGGTTTGCTCCATTCCAAAACAGGAGTGAGGTCAGTTGTGGCTACGACTGGAGGGACCTGTTTGTTGGATTGGCTACAACTCATTGTTTCTGTTTGTGTGTTGTGAGTGGTTGTTTATTATTAAGTTATTGTTGTTTGTTTCGACAACATCATCAAACCATCCATAATCACTCCTACTCAAACTATATATTTATTTATAGATACAGATAAAGGTAAACAATATTATTTATTTGTTTGTTTTTAGTTGGAAACATTCCCTACTACCATTACTTATTACAGTAAGTGACAGGTTCTGCATATTCAATCAATCGATCGACATCTCATACATTCAGCCCACATGTGTGCACACTATGCCAATCACTCATTCATTCAATCAATCAATCAATCAATCATATTCCACATTCACACTCACTCTCACACAACACACGCACACACACTCACCCCAAATCAATCAATCAATCAATCTTACTTAAAGTATTTATATCTCAGCTTGGATACCTTATGCATCGACACTTGCTACTGCAACATAATATATAAAATAGAACCACACGACACACACGATCAACAACACCTGATCAATACTACCATAATTATATATAATAATATACCCCATGCCATGTGTGTCGCCTTCAATAGGTGGTTAACGGGGAGGCGTAGTTGAGTTGAGTTGAGTTAATGTTGTGGTAGTTATGCGTGTGTGCTTGTGATTGTGCTTGTGCCCTCCTTCTCCTCTTGCTCCTCCTTCCATTACTCCCACCCAACAACAGCCAGCAAACAAACCAAACAAACAATCAAATCAAATCAAATCAAACATAAATTACTTCATTAATACTAACATTATTATTATTATTATTACCCATTAGGTATTACATACATAATATATATAATATTTATAATTCAATTATAATTAGAGAGATTAGAAATGACAACTTTGCAACTTAGAATCAAGTTTCCACCTGAATATCCAGTGATCTATAAGACACTTAGACTAGATAGTTCATTCACAGTACAAGAGGCCATTGCATCCATTGGACACACTATCAATGTCAACCCCTCGCCAGACATTGGTCTCTACTTGCCGGACTCCAAAAAGAACCTTCCCGAGACACAACTGCTATCCACAATCGACAATATATCAACAGTTGTAAGTTGAATGAATATGATCATCTAGTTCACTCACTCAATCAATCATACTAACTAATCAATCAAATCATTCAAACCAAAATAGCAATATTTAGAGCTAAAGTCAAAGAAGGCAGCGTCATCATCTGGCAACAAGATGAAATGTTGTAGCATTATGTAAGGGGGCGAGGGTAGAGGTTGTTAGTTAATTAGTAGGCAGCATCAGCAGCGGCAACAGAAGCTGAAGGTGCAGCAACAAGGTGTTTAGTTCTATCCAGTGTCGTCCAATTATCCAGTTTTCAAATCAAGGAACAATGTTCGATCAATCCAATCAATTCAATCCACCAATCCAATCAATCAATCAATCAATCAATCAATCATTCACTAGCTATATACGACAGCTGGTGTAAGAAGGAATGGTCACTCACTGAATAGAATAAACATGTTAAACCGGTGTATTTATTTAATCACAACAGGGTCAGGTATATTGGCAGCGCCAATGGTCACACTCACTTCCTTGATGTGGAGCCAATCGTGATGTTGTCGCTATCTTGGACATTGGATTGTGGCTTGGTCGAGTAGTCCAGAGATGACTGATTGGATGATGCACCATACAATGATCGTAACTTTTTGAGTTGATCAGATTCAACTGTTGATGTTGTTGATGAGGATGAAGTGCCAGTTGTTGTGGTAGTTGTATCACGACGACTATTACCATATAATCTATCTCTACTATCACTCCTACTTCTGCTTCTACTTCTGCTCCTGCTCATACGTCTCGCCTCCTTTCTGCTGTCATAGTATCTGTCTCTATCACGAGATGATCTATCATTATATCTGTCTCCACTTCTACTTCTACTTCTGCTTCTACTTCTGCTTCGTTTGTTATATCCTCCTCCATTATTTGAGCCTCCTCCTCTGTTGTTGTTATCATCGTAGTATCTGCCGCCACCACGTCCACCGCCTCCTCTAATCGAGTAGTCATCTCTATCTCCTCTATTTCTATAATCTCGTCCATCTCTATCTCTATCTCTATCTCTATCTCTATCTCTATCTCTATCTCTATCTCTATCTCTATCATCTCTCCTGTATGAGCCTCTTCCTCCTCCACCTCCTCCTCTGTCATCGTCTCTATAGTCTCCTCTTCCGCCTCCTCTGCCACCACCTCCTCTTCTGTCATCTCGGCCATCACCACCACCTCTGTTGCCCTTGCCCTTCTGTTGTACTGGAGTGATACCCTTCTCATCCTCATACTCTGATATTCCCTGTTCCATCTCCTTCATGACCTTGACAGGTATCCTTGGCAACAGAGTATCCGCGAATCTCTGTTCCCTAAGAAGTGATATGAGGAATTGTTCGATAGTCCTGTTGTTGTTGTTGTCGTTGTCAGTTAGTCATATATTCTTCTTCGGGGATGGAGATATACATACGTATCATTGCTTCTGGGTGTGACTTTGATTGTCTCTTGGTCATCGAGAGCCTCACCAAACCAATCCCATAGTTTGGCAAATGGATGACAGTATCGGAGATAGAGGAATCCCATTGCTCGGATGTAGGGTGACTCATTGGTGACCACACCATTCATCTGTTTCTCAGTGAACTTCATCAAGTACATCTTGTAAAGTAAACAATAGGCAGTGGAAGGTGTCTTTGTATTGGGTATATAGGGACCTTTTGATTGGGTGAATATATATGAATGAGTTAGTAATGTTATAATCATTGGTTGTGTGAATGTCTGTGGTGTTATATGTGTGTCGTACTATGCACAAGTACATCATCTACCGCTAGATCTGATGGTTGACAACCAATATTGCAGAGGGAGCAGCAAAGGAAGGAGGGAGGGGAGGGGAGGGGAGGGAGGTGTGGGGCAAGACCTGGTCCTATCTAGGGTACCCTTCATCATCATCATCGATCATCCTTAAGTTATCATATCAGATCAACTCTAAGATAGTATCTTTAACCTTTTTTGGATTCTACTTACAGAGATATTGTACATGATTCTTGATCTCGCTCAACACTTCATGGTAGGTCTTGAGAGTGCTAATATCAACATGTTGATGTTAGTGAACTTGTACTTGAACTTTGCGAGTGAGTGTCACATGTCATACATACTAAAGATCCTTGAAGTACTGACATGATTGAATATTTGTCAGTAGTATCTTATCGATATTGAGGTTCTCTCCATGTGTCTCCATTTGTAGTTCTAGTGTCGCGAACTATGTGTTTGTGTTTGTGTGTGAATAAATGAAAGAATGAATAGATGAATGAAGGATTGAATGAAGGTGTTTGCAATCCTCCCACACTCTCAGGCTCTAATTACCTCTTCGGGAAATTATTACTCTATTTGTCGAACATTTCTCAAAACAACTTCATTTCAATTAATTATCTATCTTACACACGAACAAAGAGATAATAAATATTAATTAATTATCTTTATTACATACAACATTATATATTATTATTTATTATTTACATGGTCTAGAAACACCATGTAACAACTTATTTAAATTAATATTATTATAAATAGGAAGAAGAAGAAGAAGTAGAAGAGAAACAAACAGGCATGTTCAACTTTGATTACGATGGTAAATGTTTAATGTTAAATCTTAAGATATATTACTATTCTTATTCCGGAGGTTCAGATCACTTCAACCCTTCATTACTCATTGACCTTCAATCATCTCATATGATAAAGTTCATACACACATTATTAGATCTCATTGATAGTTCTATTAATAGTATGATGGTCAATGATGACATTGAACGAATAGAACGTGTCAGTGGAGGAGAAGAAAGAGAGTGTGTGAGTGTTTATGATGTGTTTGTGGTTGTTGTTACGATCAACTGATCAGTTGTCCACTCTAGTGCGTGTGTTCTATTATGTGTGATATAATGCGGACGGTCATAAAGTATGAAATCAAGTCTTCCTTCCAAGTCAGACTGACTGTTTCCACCATCCACCACCATCCACTCTCTGTACACATCCTTCAAGAGGATCAGGACTTGTCCAATCAATCATTTCCCGAGGGTATCAGGAACGCATCAAGTGATAGTTGTAGATAGATCAGGTCAGGATTTGTAATCGGGGCTTCCGATTACCACCAACGCCAACAACAACAACGAGTTGTTTCAGACTCATATGATGGTTAGATCCAGACTCTGTTCCCAATTCCCTCTCAATCAATCAATCAATCAATTAAATCAACCAATCTTGATTGATTAAGAGAGAGAGACACAACCCATCCCTTATTCATTACCTCGCTACTACTTTCATCATTAAGTCGACGAGTGGCTGCTTCCTGAAACAGTACTTACTCCAATATTATGATGATCAACACCATCCCACCCAATCATATTGCGTAACTACACATCCTTTTAAACATATATCAAACACAGATGTGATGAACACGGATGTACATCCCTCTATATGTCTGTAAGGTCGTTGCACTAGTTATCTTCACACCTGGCGATTATCCCTTTGTGATTGTCTTTCCATGTGTGTGTGTCTTTGTGCGTGTAAGATCACGAGACATTCTCATGACCATGGAAGCTTTGATACCAATCAATAAAAGGATCATGCCAGTCTGTGGCTAATCCTTACTGATGTCCAGTTCCAACTTCCTACCATCTTGGAATTTATATGACTATTTGTTTGTTTCAATCAATCAAATAATAATTAATTGTAATAATAATTATTTCCAATGGGATAAAGTAATAATTTATTAATATTTATATATATATTTTAAAATAATGGATACTATTATTACTGTAGAGAACACCGAAGCAACTACAACGTTGCTACCCAATGTGGAATTAAGACATCCTGTTTCCACGGCCTACAAAAAGAAGAGGTTCATTCCGACAGCCAACTCTGCCGCCTATGTGGACAAGTCCCACCATGGTGTCCACGGACGTTGCAACAAATGTTCAAACAGTACCAATGACTTGAGACGAGTGTCGGCATACTGTATCGCCGACTCAATATCCCTCAACCAATCATTCCTCGAGCTGGAGAGGAATGGAATGAGACCCATCGAGCACAAGGAGTTCTATTACTACCATATCAGGAAATATACAAGTGGTCCACCTCCAATGATCAAGACTCAAACTCCGCCTCAGTCCCAGCACCATCTTGAGACTCTAATGGAGCTTCGCATCGATGATGAGTGTTCATCAATCAGCACACCGTCATCATGTTTATACGAGGGCACTGGTGCAGGACTCGGAGCCCAGGTTCAGCCAGAAGATGCCAGTGCCATGGACCAGGACAAGGGCATGGTTGTCGTGTTTGAGAATGGAGTCGTGGTCTTTTGGGACCTCACACCATCGATCGAGTTCCGCGTCATTAAGATGCTCGAGGTGTTCTCGGTCAATGTCCTCGATCACAAGTTGGTGGATGACATGCGATTCGAATATGCGTGTCCTGGACTCACGCCAGCACAAACCACCATCTTCCAAGACAAGATCATCCTCGACTCGTACGACCCCCTGGTCAAAGTTGCCATGAGCCAGTCCATCTCACAATCCGTCAAGATCTCATCCTTTGAAGAGAACCTTGAGCTAATCATCGAGGCCACCAAAGATGTCCCAGTTCACTTGTCTCAGAAGGGCAAGGTATGTCTTCTCGCTCTCAACCTTTCACCCAATCAATCAATCAATCATACTTACACTCACATCCATCAATCAATCAATAATATAGATATGTCTGTCACAAAGAAGAGTTGGCCAACTGTTGGGAACATTGTATATCCAGAAGAATGCAATTAACTTGCATTCCAATATACTGGACACACCAGAGTTCTTTTGGACCTTCCAGGATTATGAGAGATATCATATTATGACTGAGAAGTATCTGGAGATCAAGCCAAGGGTACGCACTTTGAATCACCGATTGATGGTGGTACGCGACCTCATCGACATGTGTCGCTCCGACCTCGAAGCCAGAGGTTCCTTCCGATTGGAGATCATTGTAATAGTGCTCATCTTCTTTGAGCTCGTCTTTATGGTTCTCCAATTTCTACATGATGTCGTCATCTAAACGATGTGTCCAATAAACATCGATCGTTCAATCCAATCCAATTAGTCATCCTTTGGAGGAGTGAGTTCATTCTCCACTGGACGCAGGAATTCGTTAATGATGCATTGTACCAGTTCGGCCAACTCTTGCTGCACGTGTGCCTTGTCTTGACCAATCATCTCGACGTAGTACTTTAACTTGGGCTCGGTGCCACTGCCACGGAGTGTTGCAATAGCACCGTTTTTGAAGTAAAAGGTGATCATCTGTGTGGATGTGGACACTGGCAGACGCGCCTTCTTGTCGGGGAAGCCATCGTCATAGTCGATGGTGAGGTCGCGCACACGCTCAATCTCAAAGCGACCGCACTTGGTGGGGAAGTTGCGGTTGTTGCGTATCTTGTTGAAGATGGCAACCATCTTGGGCGGCTCATAGCAGAAGAAGTAGCGGTTGCGACTAATGTGGTAGCCGTAGCGCTTGTAGAGCGACTCGAGGTGGTCCTCGCAGGAGCTGCCGTTGGCGTAGTAGGACAGGGCAAGTTCGGCAAAGATTGCTGCACAACGCACGCCGTCCTTGTCCAGCGACACATCTCCGTACAGGAAGCCGATGGCCTCCTCGTAAGCGAACAGGAAGTGCAATCCTTCGGCGTCCATTACCTCGCGAGCACGATTGCCCACCCATTTGAAGCCAGTCAGTGTCTCCTCGCAACGGTATCCATCCTTCTTGGCCATGGTCTTGAGCATGGCGGATGATACAGCCGTGTTGATCATGAAGAACTTCTCGGCTGGGGTGTCGGGATGGCTGCGACGGGCATTCTGCCAGGCCCAATCAGCCAACAACACTCCAATCTCATTGCCGTTGAATACCTTCCATGTGCCATCCTTTAATCGCTCAGCCACAGCCAGTCTGTCTGCGTCTGGATCATTGGCCAGGATCAGACGGCTGCCATTGGCTTCGGCCGTCTCGATTGAGAGCTTCAGTGCGCCCTTGCCCTCCTCTGGGTTTGGGAATGTGACGGTGGGGAATGCTGGGTCGGGCTGGTACTGCTGTGCCACTGGGATGAAAGGTGGAAGCTTGAATGCTTCGAATGCCATCTTGGTGTACTCTCCTCCAACTCCATGCATGGCGGTGTAGATGATCTTCTCGTTAGCAAACTTGACGTGTGAGGCAACAGAGTACTGTGCGATCTTTGTATTGTAGCTCGACACTATCCTGTCAAGAGGGTCCTCCACCAAAGGACCACTCAGCAACTGATCGACATTAATCTCCCAGGGTTCCAGATTGAGATCAATCAACTTTGCAATGCCCTTGTCATGTGGAGTATTAATCTGACAACCATTCTCCCAGTACACCTTATAGCCATTATCATCCTTTGGGTTATGTGATGCAGTTATCATCACACCAATACTTGCCTTTAAGTCGGTAACAGCAAAGGCCTAGCATCAATTGATTGATTAATTGATTGATTGATTGAATGAATGAATGAATGAGTGTCAATGAATGATTGAATGAATGAATGAATGAGTGAGTGAGTGATACATACGACATAAGGTGTTGGTACGACTTTAGAGAATAGGTACACTTTGTAACCCTTTGAGAGGAATGTGGCAGCAGTGTACTTGGCAAACTCTTTAGAGTTGTACCTTCCATCATATCCAATGACCACACCAGACTTGATAGCATTTGGAATGGTGTCAATGACGTACAAACACAGACCTTGACTTGCTTGTATCACTGTAAGATCATTCATACATGAGAAACCAGCTTTCATAGGACCTCTTAGACCAGCTGTACCAAAAGCTATCCTATTCTCCAATCTTGCAGTCAATTCCTTCACATCATTTTGTTCAACCAACTCTTGAATCTCTGCTCTTGTCTTTGGGTTCTTATCCCATTTCAACCAATCTTGTGCCAATTTATTTATACTAGTAGTAGTACTCATTATCTCTCTCTATCTCTTATTGTTATTATTATCTTGAAATGCAAATAATGAATGAATAAATGAATGAATCTTTGATGATGAGTCATTGTGGTTCATTGAGTTTGGACAAGATGACATTCAAAAGGGGGGTAAGATTAATTGAAAAATTGGACAAGTTGTTGAAGATCCACCTCACTTTATGTATTTGCTTTGGTATTGCTCAAACCCTGGGTCATTGGTCATTTATTATTATTTAACCCACTACAACAACAACAACAAATATCTGTGTACTTATATTATCTATATATTTATTTAATCGAATGATCGACAACAACCTCAACAATTACAAATCTCCCAATAATAACAATAATAATAATAACAACAGAGACATATATAAATACAATATAAGATGGCCAGGTTGAATAGAAAGATCAAACATTTCTTCAATAGTTTAATACACTTTGAAGTTAAAGAAGGATATAGTCTATTTTTTATATTGACATTATGTACATTCTTATTTATTGGTGTATTACTTAGTTATTTATCATATAATCATTATATTCAGAAGGAGATGAGTATGATCGAGTTGGATATGGACAGGAATTGTCATCAAATTATACATAACATCGAAGCTACATCCTATGGTCTATTCTCAAAGGTTGAGTCTGTAAAAGTATGTATTTATATCAATTGTATCCCCTATAATTCTTGTCCAAACAAAGAATTATATATTAATATATAATTATTATTAGGGACTATTCTATTCTAAACCTAAATTCAATCAAGATGACTTTGAAACTTACTTGAAGAGTACTTCAAATCCCTTTAAAGGAATGCGAACATTCTGGATACCAAAGATACAGCACAGCGAGAGAGCTAGATTCGAAAACCATTTTAATGTTACTTTGACCGAGTATGATTATATCTTGAATCGATTCATCTCCTCCAGAGAGAAGAAGATATATTTCCCAATACTATACATGTATCCAAACTACCATGATATGGATATGTTATCTGTAAGTTCCAAACAAACAAATGAATGAAGAATGGGAAAATCTAACAATATTGATATCATTAGGGTATATTGCGAGGATTTGATGTATCTTCATCGATTACACATCATGGTATTGAAGATACTGTTACAAACAATACGATGGCTTTGGGTCTGACGGACAGATATATATTCAATAATCTTAGATTGAAGATGGGTATAATTGCAATTGTACCAATCTTCAAGACTATATTTCCACCTGCAGCCAGTGAACGACTTGATCACTGTGCAGGTGTTGCCACTGGAGTATTGGAGACACAGGAGTTGTTTAGAGGTGCAAGGAAGAATGTAGAGGATGAGAAATGGTTCACAATATTTCTCGTTGACAACAAAGGTGCAATTTTCTATCAACATGATGAATACTCATTCGTCAATGAGAGTCATATCTACACCTCAAATCACTTTCAAGGGTATGTATTAGTTAGTGAATTCAATTCTGTCAATCAATCAATCATACTCACACATCATCACAGACGTTTCCAAAATGTAGCCAGGTTTGAAGTTGCCAACACCGAGCTGAAGATGATTACATTTGCAGCAATGGAATATGAGAATGAGAAGAGAACATCATCACCTATTCTCATAGCCGTTTCACTGATATTGTTGGACCTTTTCATCTTCCTCTACGTACTGGAGCAGAGAAGAAGGAAAAACATCAATGACCGAATCATCAAAGAGCGCAGTCTGCTACTCAATCGTATTCTCCCAGAGGAGGTCTCACAACAATTGGAGAATGGTGAAGAGGTTGTTGCCAAGCTTTCAAACAATGCTGCCGTCTTCTTCATGGACATTGCAGGATTCACCAGTTACTCCTCCACTCACACCCCTCAAGAGATCATCATTGTACTAAAGAGGATATTCTCTTTGATTGATCGAGCCTGCTGTGATCACTATGTCGAGAAGATCAAGACCATTGGAGATGCCTACATGGCTGTGACCGGTCTATCAAACACACAGTGCAAGTTGAGCATGAAGAGTAACACAGAGATAATGCTAGAGTTCAGTTTGGATATATTGGAGATGCTAAAAGAGGAACTCAGCAGCATGGTTGGCCTCAAGGTGCGCATTGGTATCCACTGTGGACCCATCATCTCTGGTGTGATCTCAGGATCCAAGCCGCACTTCGACATTTGGGGCGACACTGTCAATGTTGCCTCACGTATGGAGTCTACTGGAATACCAGGATTTGTTCATGTCTCAGACCGTGTGTACCAGCTTACTCAAGACAGGTTCCATTTCTCCGAACACCCAGAAACAATCAACGTCAAGGGCAAAGGAAGAATGAGAACATGGTTCCTACTGCGCAAGAAGGGAAGGAAGAGCATTGAGAACTTGGACATGGACAATATCAGATTGAGACAGAGTATGGACTCGGCAGGATCACCAATCTATCATCAAGAACTGTCACCAAAGAGAATCGTCAAGAACATCGACTATTTGGATTTGGTCCAACATCAGCCTTCACCAATACTGTTATCCCAACAACAGGCAAAGAGACATCATCATCTAGCCAAGAGAGCATCGAGGAATTATCGTCCACAGAACATTGTGGATATTAGTTTCAATCACATTGAGAGTCCTCCAATTCATTCCCAAAATTTACATCACCATTCATCTTCGCGTAGTGTTCCAAACATATCGCCTTCACTCAAGTCCACCCAGATTGGACTTCCAACAATGTCCATCAACTCTGAGTGGAGCTCATCAGATGACAGTCTGACTGGAAATTGGCTTTGATCAATAAAATTTGACTTAATTGGATTAAAGGTTAACATTCTCATTTGAATCAGGCCTCCAAAATTTTTTGAATTACTACATCTTGGTTTATTTTACATTGGTCATTCTAAATAAGGGCTATTTGGTGAGCCAGTCAGAGATGTTGAATGGTGGAATTGGCCTCCAAAATTTTAGAGATAAAAATCACAATTTTTTTGTTTTGTGGCACGAATGCTCTGTCATCTAAGGGTTAGGATCCAGGACTCTGAATCCTGTCATCTGAGTTCGAATCTCAGCAGGGCAACACTCTTTTGTCTCTCCAGCTTGAGATATAAAATAAGGAACTTCCAGGGTTCTAACAAACGAGTGAATTTGACATCAAAAAAACCGAAACGAGCGATACAGTTACTAACTGTTTTTCGTTCTGAATAAGTCCTTAGCTAGACTCTACACAGTCAATCAATCGTCGCTCGAGGTCGAGCGTCGATACACTAAGGTTACAGGGCAACATGGGACTTGACAGTGTTTTAGCGAGGTTCGCCCCGATGAACACGGTCGCCCCTCCCCATCGCGACTCGTTCTACGAATTGCGCATCTTCTTCCCAGGCGTCGCCTTACTACCAGACGACTACCTCAAGAAGCTCAAGCTCATACTACGACTGTTCAGGTCGTACCCTTCGTCATCTGCCCCCACGAGAAAGAGCAAACATGTCCGCGGCCTCACCGTCGAGGGCAAAG